CTTTCAGTCCCAGACTGAAAAAAAAAGGAATTTACAGAAGCTGGTTGGATACCAAATAGCACAAGGCCATCTTCTCGTTCTCTAACCAGTATTGTAATTTACACACTTCCGATCTAATGCATTACCCCCCGCCTTCATAGTGTTATAAAAATAATATAGGATCTTATCAGGTTTCTTTGATTCCTCTACTATTTTGTTATCATGCTGCATAGATTGCTATACGAGAACATGTGTATTTGGTTTTGGAAGATACTACTCTAAGGCTGTACAACATAAACTTAGAAGTACCTGGCTGTGTTTCCTTCTTATTTGGAACTACATGTTGGGGTACTTGTTACTTATTTTTACGCTTCCTGCCGACATAGGTCAGTTGGTTGATGCGCAATTCTACATGTAATTCTACTGACGTGAACCAGTCATCTGCTGTGATATTTCTGTTCGTATAGACGAAAGCATTGAGCAGGTAGTGGTGAGTCTTTGCATCATCAGTCCATACTTATTCGGTTTAGTTTTCTTGTAGGCACAGGAAGGACATCGGCCCACGAGCATCTCGTATTTTGTAGGGGACTCACCCGAAATATAACAATTTCGACAGTTCTCTATGAGTGTCTCGAAAATTTCACGTATTTGGAGAAATTTATCGGCATTTCTCGAGTCACAGGGTTATTATTTTCCAAATTGGTTGCCACGGACTTTAGTTCAGGTAAATGCGTAATAATCGACCAGTTGCAGGCGCTCGTTTTGACCAATTGTACATGTTTTTTCCATAGGCATAGCGAGGTCGCCCATAGGAAGTTGTTCAGGTTGATCGATAGCAGCGTCGTCCTCGGCGTAGTCTATAGTGTATTGTTCATCCGTCAACAACGAAAAAATCCATTGTGAAGGAAGTTCAAATCGTACACGCAACTGACATCCTCGGATCAAATTTGACCGCAAAGTCAACAAACCAACAATTGTGATGTTTAAATTAAACTGTGGTTTGAGGTATACGTGCTCATACCGTATGAGAAGTCACGGGACCCCCACCACATAACTGAGAAAGCTCGAATCATCCGACGATATCATTAAAGGATTAATTTCTATATTCTTGAACGAATCTATAAAATCAAAGTGGCTGGGTTTCAATTTACATAGCTCTTTGTATGGTCTTGTTTGCTGATCAACATTATATGATTTCTAGACATGTTCAATCTGTGCAGCTTCTTCACTTTCATATTAATGTCAATAAGAGCATTTCATCCATTTTTGAATAAATGTGGTTCATCACAAATTGTAGAAATACTCTGAGCATTGACTATAAAATGGAATGGACTTGATCCGTGAGTATTCTCCGAGCAAATCGTCTCAAGTGCGTTTTTGATCGTTGCGCCCTGATTAGAAATAGTGCCAACAACGCACAAACCAAGTCGCTGCTAGTTTGTGATCACATGAACAATAATCGTTTTCAGATCTGGGATTCTTGTATCTTTTACTAGATAATAAGCCACAACCTGCTTATAATTTTTACGAATCCCTCTTATCATGGAAGTAAGGGCATGATTTCTGATAAATCACTTTTTCAGAGTTCTAGTTGATTTTGTTACCTCAGAATTCAAGATTTATTAGCTGAAAATTGTACACTGTGAGCACTGGGATCAGCCCTAAACTTTGTCCAAACCCTGCAATAATCGTAAACACTAAACAAGGGTAGACATATTTCTAGTTTAACTGCCTGAAGATTTTCTCTATGGTTTATACGTAACTCTCCACCTATTATCTCATTTTTGTACATGTTCTGGGAGAACTCAACTTGCTCCCTATAAAATGCAACGTCTTCCTGCACAGGTGGTTCTGGTTAAGTGCCAGCCTGCTTCGGGTTTGTAATTAGTTGTTGCAATTTTCTGATTTCGTCGTCCTTTTTCATAATCCAGATTTCGTTTTGGCATTCCAGTTCAGCCATTTGATCCTGAAGCTCTTTTATAGTAGAATCATTATGGCATCGTATATCTGAGATTTTAAATGAGTGGTTGACCTCACGTTGGTTACTCTCGTCCATCAGACTCTTTACGTCATTTCTCAGTTTAGATTCAAGTTCTTTTAGGAAGCCAATTTCATCTTGCAGTTCAGCAATGTGTGACATCGTTACATCAGTTTGTGCAGCAGCACTTAAAGAATGTTGCATATCTTCGTACTCAGCGTCAAGCATAGCTTCTAAGTCTGCAACCTTCTTTTTTGACTCAATATTTTGAGCTTCAAGAGATGGTTTAGGGCTCTCTGATCTTCCTAGGTTCTTCAGTTGAGTACGCAGCATCTCTATTTCTGACTCGTATGTTTTTAGTCTTTTTATTATTTTTTTCCAGAAAATCGAGTCTGTATTGCAAGTCGATGAAATTCTTGCGCTTTTTGAGAATTTTTTTGAACTCTTTCTATTTCTTCGTTGTACGCATCCGTTACTTGGCGGAGTTCCTGACTGTAACGATCGAATTTAGAATTGGCTTCTGTGAGCTGTTTCTTCAGGTCCAAAATCTCCAGCTGATTATCTAGTTTAGTGAATTCTCTAAGCTCATTGAAAGATTCTTCCAGTTCTTTGAGTTGTCTTTTAAGTACACTTGCACGTCTTCAGCTATCACAGATTCTGCTTCGGCTAGTGCCTCCTCATATGTCTCTTCTTGAATAGGCCTCATTTCACGTCCGGATGATTCTTCTTTGGGTGGATAATTTTTCAATGGCATATACCCTAGGGATGCTTTTTTAGGTGATACGTTGCCATAGTGTCCAAAAGTATGACGTCTTAATGTTTTTTTCGGTGTTGATGCCGAGGCTCCCATTTGAAAGCGCCCGACAATAGATACTTCCGTTTTTAGTCTTTCTATCTCGAGCAGATACTCTTGTTTGCTTTTATCCATCTCTTTTAGCTTAATTGCCTGCTTTTTGAGCCGAGTTTCGAGATCGCGAGTCAAGTTCTGATATCCTTGAAGTGTCTCTTCTGTAGCTGACAAGATGTTTACTTTCGTTTTATTTTTGACAGTTTTAGTGCTTTGGGCGAATTCTGGTGTAGATCTAGTCTCCTCCTCTGCAGCTAAAGTAACATTCCCGATAATCAATGATTTGGCATTACCGCCAAGAGCCTGTGAGAGCAGTCTAGTCAATTTCGAATCGCGATAACTGATAAACTCCTTCCCCTCGCTTAGTTGCCTTATCACATTTCCTAATACTGACAAAGATTTGTTTATGTTAGCCCCCTCTTTAAGACGCTCACCAGCAGCTTTCGTCAGAGAAACTCTCTCAGAACCAGCTAAGTCCATTAAGTTAAGGTAGCTTATATGTACAGGTCCATCTTTCTGATTGGCATCTTTCGACTCCAGAATAATCCGGAAAATCGTGTGTGATCGAGATGACCTCTCATTCATGCGAGTAGCTGCAACTCGTCTGATCTTATTGCCCTGCATCATGTTCTCCATAACTTTATCAACATTGTCTACGACAGCTTCCCTTGCATCAAGCAGCACATTTCCTTTGATATCTTCTCTTATAGTTAAACCCTGATTGCTCTTATCCAGGAGGTCATTGATCTTTTCATTGTAGATTTCAATATAACTGCATCTAATCAAGTACCTCTTATCAACCTGGTCTGCCACATGCTGGAATAACTGATTGGATACTAATTGGAAAAGCCCAGGATCTGTTTTATTGCCCAAAATGGTGTGTGTTTTGCCAGAAGATGTTTGGCCATATGCAAATATTGGCATTGAAACCTTCCATGAAGGAATCGACTAAAGGTTTTACTACAGATCCATATACATCTGAATTTGTACATTCCTGCTTAAATACATGGTCGAATATATAAACCTCTCCATGGCGACTACTTTCATCGGCTTCCCATATGCAGTTTACTCTTACGTTCCAAAGACGCTCTAGACCATCGGCTACTTCGCGGTGGATCATTGGTCTGATCTTTGTGGCTACTTTAATATTGTCGGAAGTCATTTTGGAAGCTTGAACTGAAATTTAATTAGAACTAGGGCTATTTCACGGGTTATAAAGAGGGGCACTTTTCATAATCCAGATTTCGTTTTGGCATTCCAGTTCAGCCATTTGATCCTGAAGCTCTTTTATAGTAGAATCATTATGGCATCGTATATCTGAGATTTTAAATGAGTGGTTGACCTCACGTTGGTTACTCTCGTCCATCAGACTCTTTACGTCATTTCTCAGTTTAGATTCAAGTTCTTTTAGGAAGCCAATTTCATCTTGCAGTTCAGCAATGTGTGACATCGTTACATCAGTTTGTGTAGCAGCACTTAAAGAATCTTGCATATCTTCGTACTCAGCGTCAAGCATAGCTTCTAAGTCTGCAACCTTCTTTTTTGACTCAATATTTTGAGCTTCAAGAGATGGTTTAGGGCTCTCTGATCTTCCTAGGTTCTTCAGTTGAGTACGCAGCATCTCTATTTCTGACTCGTATGTTTTTAGTCTTTTTATTATTTTTTTCCAGAAAATCGAGTCTGTATTGCAAGTCGATGAAATTCTTGCGCTTTTTGAGAATTTTTTGAACTCTTTCTATTTCTTCGTTGTACGCATCCGTTACTTGGCGGAGTTCCTGACTGTAACGATCGATTTTAGAATTGGCTTCTGTGAGCTGTTTCTTCAGGTCCAAAATCTCCAGCTGATTATCTAGTTTAGTGAATTCTCTAAGCTCATTGAAAGATTCTTCCAGTTCTTTGCGTTGTCTTTTAAGTACACTTGCACGTCTTCAGCTATCACAGATTCTGCTTCGGCTAGTGCCTCCTCATATGTCTCTTCTTGAATAGGCCTCATTTCACGTCCGGATGATTCTTCTTTGGGTGGATAATTTTTCAATGGCATATACCCTAGGGATGCTTTTTTAGGTGATACGTTGCCATAGTGTCCAAAAGTATGACGTCTTAATGTTTTTTTCGGTGTTGATGCCGAGGCTCCCATTTGAAAGCGCCCGACAATAGATACTTCCGTTTTTAGTCTTTCTATCTCGAGCAGATACTCTTGTTTGCTTTTATCCATCTCTTTTAGCTTAATTGCCTGCTTTTTGAGCCGAGTTTCGAGATCGCGAGTCAAGTTCTGATATCCTTGAAGTGTCTCTTCTGTAGCTGACAAGATGTTTACTTTCGTTTTATTTTTGACAGTTTTAGTGCTTTGGGCGAATTCTGGTGTAGATCTAGTCTCCTCCTCTGCAGCTAAAGTAACATTCCCGATAATCAATGATTTGGCATTACCGCCAAGAGCCTGTGAGAGCAGTCTAGTCAATTTCGAATCGCGATAACTGATAAACTCCTTCCCCTCGCTTAGTTGCCTTATCACATTTCCTAATACTGACAAAGATTTGTTTATGTTAGCCCCCTCTTTAAGACGCTCACCAGCAGCTTTCGTCAGAGAAACTCTCTCAGAACCAGCTAAGTCCATTAAGTTAAGGTAGCTTATATGTACAGGTCCATCTTTCTGATTGGCATCTTTCGACTCCAGAATAATCCGGAAAATCGTGTGTGATCGAGATGACCTCTCATTCATGCGAGTAGCTGCAACTCGTCTGATCTTATTGCCCTGCATCATGTTCTCCATAACTTTATCAACATTGTCTACGACAGCTTCCCTTGCATCAAGCAGCACATTTCCTTTGATATCTTCTCTTATAGTTAAACCCTGATTGCTCTTATCCAGGAGGTCATTGATCTTTTCATTGTAGATTTCAATATAACTGCATCTAATCAAGTACCTCTTATCAACCTGGTCTGCCACATGCTGGAATAACTGATTGGATACTAATTGGAAAAGCCCAGGATCTGTTATTGCCCAAAATGGTGTGTGTTTTGCCAGAAGATGTTTGGCCATATGCAAATATTGTGGCATTGAAACCTTCCATGAAGGAATCGACTAAAGGTTTTACTACAGATCCATATACATCTGAATTTGTACATTCCTGCTTAAATACATGGTCGAATATATAAACCTCTCCATGGCGACTACTTTCATCGGCTTCCCATATGCAGTTTACTCTTACGTTCCAAAGACGCTCTAGACCATCGGCTACTTCGCGGTGGATCATTGGTCTGATCTTTGTGGCTACTTTAATATTGTCGGAAGTCATTTTGGAAGCTTGAACTGAAATTTAATTAGAACTAGGGCTATTTCACGGGTTATAAAGAGGGGCACTTTTCATAATCCAGATTTCGTTTTGGCATTCCAGTTCAGCCATTTGATCCTGAAGCTCTTTTATAGTAGAATCATTATGGCATCGTATATGAGATTTTAAATGAGTGGTTGACCTCACGTTGGTTACTCTCGTCCATCAGACTCTTTACGTCATTTCTCAGTTTAGATTCAAGTTCTTTTAGGAAGCCAATTTCATCTTGCAGTTCAGCAATGTGTGACATCGTTACATCAGTTTGTGTAGCAGCACTTAAAGAATCTTGCATATCTTCGTACTCAGCGTCAAGCATAGCTTCTAAGTCTGCAACCTTCTTTTTTGACTCAATATTTTGAGCTTCAAGAGATGGTTTAGGGCTCTCTGATCTTCCTAGGTTCTTCAGTTGAGTACGCAGCATCTCTATTTCTGACTCGTATGTTTTTAGTCTTTTATTATTTTTTTCCAGAAAATCGAGTCTGTATTGCAAGTCGATGAAATTCTTGCGCTTTTTGAGAATTTTTTTGAACTCTTTCTATTTCTTCGTTGTACGCATCCGTTACTTGGCGGAGTTCCTGACTGTAACGATCGATTTTAGAATTGGCTTCTGTGAGCTGTTTCTTCAGGTCCAAAATCTCCAGCTGATTATCTAGTTTAGTGAATTCTCTAAGCTCATTGAAAGATTCTTCCAGTTCTTTGCGTTGTCTTTTAAGTACACTTGCACGTCTTCAGCTATCACAGATTCTGCTTCGGCTAGTGCCTCCTCATATGTCTCTTCTTGAATAGGCCTCATTTCACGTCCGGATGATTCTTCTTTGGGTGGTAATTTTTCAATGGCATATACCCTAGGGATGCTTTTTTAGGTGATACGTTGCCATAGTGTCCAAAAGTATGACGTCTTAATGTTTTTTTCGGTGTTGATGCCGAGGCTCCCATTTGAAAGCGCCCGACAATAGATACTTCCGTTTTTAGTCTTTCTATCTCGAGCAGATACTCTTGTTTGCTTTTATCCATCTCTTTTAGCTTAATTGCCTGCTTTTTGAGCCGAGTTTCGAGATCGCGAGTCAAGTTCTGATATCCTTGAAGTGTCTCTTCTGTAGCTGACAAGATGTTTACTTTCGTTTTATTTTTGACAGTTTTAGTGCTTTGGGCGAATTCTGGTGTAGATAGTCTCCTCCTCTGCAGCTAAAGTAACATTCCCGATAATCAATGATTTGGCATTACCGCCAAGAGCCTGTGAGAGCAGTCTAGTCAATTTCGAATCGCGATAACTGATAAACTCCTTCCCCTCGCTTAGTTGCCTTATCACATTTCCTAATACTGACAAAGATTTGTTTATGTTAGCCCCCTCTTTAAGACGCTCACCAGCAGCTTTCGTCAGAGAAACTCTCTCAGAACCAGCTAAGTCCATTAAGTTAAGGTAGCTTATATGTACAGGTCCATCTTTCTGATTGGCATCTTTCGACTCCAGAATAATCCGGAAAATCGTGTGTGATCGAGATGACCTCTCATTCATGCGAGTAGCTGCAACTCGTCTGATCTTATTGCCCTGCATCATGTTCTCCATAACTTTATCAACATTGTCTACGACAGCTTCCCTTCCCTGCATCAAGCAGCACATTTCCTTTGATATCTTCTCATAGTTAAACCCTGATTGCTCTTATCCAGGAGGTCATTGATCTTTTCATTGTAGATTTCAATATAACTGCATCTAATCAAGTACCTCTTATCAACCTGGTCTGCCACATGCTGGAATAACTGATTGGATACTAATTGGAAAAGCCCAGGATCTGTTTTATTGCCCAAAATGGTGTGTGTTTTGCCAGAAGATGTTTGGCCATATGCAAATATTGTGGCATTGAAACCTTCCATGAAGGAATCGACTAAAGGTTTTACTACAGATCCATATACATCTGAATTTGTACATTCCTGATTAAATACATGGTCGAATATATAAACCTCTCCATGGCGACTACTTTCATCGGCTTCCCATATGCAGTTTACTCTTACGTTCCAAAGACGCTCTAGACCATCGGCTACTTCGCGGTGGATCATTGGTCTGATCTTTGTGGCTACTTTAATATTGTTGGAAGTCATTTTGGAAGCTTGAACTGAAATTTAATTAGAACTAGGGCTATTTCACGGGTTATAAAGAGGGGCAGATGTATCAGGTTGATACATTCTTTTTTTCCTCCTTTCCAGTATAGAAGATTTTTTTCTCTTGTAGGCTATGAATGCGGTCCGATAGTTTAGTAGAGCTACATTTACAGGGTGACTCAAAATCAAAGAAGAAACAGAATTGTT